TACGTCAAGTCACCCTTCACCTTTCGGCTTAGGGCATCTGCGACGACGTTCGCTTTTCCGGATGATACTGAATAGAACAATCATAATCCTTCACAAGCTCAAGCCAACGGCGCTGCCTCATATTAAGCTCCTTCTGCGTGAAAATATACTGCAAGCTCTTATGATCTGTGAAAATCTCGCAGCGTCCGTCGTAAAGATAATGTCGCCAGATCTTCAGAGCGTGAACGACTGCTTCTAACTCCAAGTCGTGCGTAGGATAGTTCTGCTCATGAGGCTTAAGCTGACGTGAAGCATACGCAACGACCTGGCCGACCTCGGAAATACTAAAACTGGAATGTACAAGCTTAACTTAAAGCTTATACTTACTGATTACATAACTTGAAAATCCAGTAATTTAATACTGAATAAGAAACTTGATCTGAACAGAAGAGGCATCAACTCACAATTAAGTGAATTGTGGAATACTACTGACTGAGAATGGACACTTTTCTGAAAGAAAGTGTTCCACTGATAAGACATGATCTCAAAACGAAATTCTGAAATATGTTGGTCATCCTCTCCTGGCTGCTGGCGGATCTCCAATCGGAATGCTGGTGGTGAAGACTCCTGTTGTGGGTACACATGGAAGATTCCAGAGATTCACATATGCACAAATGAGGATAACTAGCTATATTGGTCCTTACCTTTCATGAATGTCTGCTCGATGACGCGACACATCGTTCGCGGCACATTGTAATGCGGCATACCTGCTCCTCATCGAGTGAGTGCGGCACGCCTGCATACAGCACCTGGCGAACATTGCACCTGCGCCGTCGACGTAATCTGATCGTATACCTCAAGCTAGTAACCTCAATGTACGTAAATACTAACTCTCTGCAACCTTCCAGTGTACTGTGACCCAAGCATGGCATCCTTGGGGTGGAAAGCGTCGGTTTACCATCATGGCACGATACGTTGTTGTCGATTGGCCCTTCTTCGTTGCGGCGAATGTCAACCTGTGGTACCTGCAACTTTTTACTCCCTCCGAGGTTAAACTTAACCTCAAGAAGAAGTCCCTCATGACTTAATATCTCCCACGATTTCTCAGATTCTTCAGAATTTGAGAATCGAGGCGCTGACGTACTGAAAATGCTGGATAAGTCTTGTCTTATTAGACAAACTATCCTCGATCTTAAC